TCCTATAACGACGTGTTAATTTCTGAACGACTACCGTTCGATTAATGGCCGACCGGGGACATTCGGTAGATAAAAGATAGACTTGCTTTTTATCTTGATTTTTAAAGCTAGCGTGCATCCTCGAACGATGTCGCACGATGATGGGAGAGAATTTTAAGCGATCAGGACGTTAATTAGCGCCGTCTGAGAAACAAATATGGCCAGGCTGGGGTGAGACGGCCGATCGAGGTGAGGGCAGACGTGGCTATCGAGTAAAAAGGAAAAAAAAGAGGAGACATCCGGCGAACAAGGACGAACAGCGTAGCTGGAAAACGAGAAGGACGAGGACGAACACGGAGACAAAGGGAAAGGGAGAAGAATTTAGGGACGTGGCTGCTCACCGCGCTTCTATCCTGCCCCTTCGTCCTCGTCCTCTTCGTGGTCGTTCTCTCGCACATCACCGCGGGCTCCTGAGGTTTCCTGGAAGCGAGAGCTCGCTTCCACCTGCCACACACTGCGGAAACCCGGACACCGCTCGATCTACCGGGTGTTCTGCAAATATGCCTCCGTACCGGCTACCGTTTCACCCGATCGATCTATCGAGATTTATTCGCTTCGGACGTACGTAGCGCTCCGAAACATGCTTCCTACCAAAAGGGAAAAGAATAGCTCCGATAAAGATCTCGCCTCGACGGAATCGTTCTTCGAAGACAATCGCCAGAAAAAAAAGAGAAACGATCGTGGCGTCAGCGAAGAAAAAGGGTACTCTTATAAAATCATAAGGGCCGAACACGTGTCTCGGAGAAGACGCGTCGCGCCGCTCGAAACCGAAAATTTCTTTTTCTCGTAATCTGTACGGGGGGGCCATTAAACCGGAGGACGAGGGCCTCTCGTGAAAAGGAATGTCACGGGGTTACGCCCTTTCTCATCGACCAAAACGGGCCCTGGTTGTCGCTCGTTAAATGTCCGAGGTATCGATGTCCCGCGTACCGAGAGACAACCTCGGAGCACGCTTATCGGTCCGTTTTTGAAAGTTACACAGTTTTCGGAGGGCGCCAGTCGGGAAAGGGCTTTATCAGACGATTTACAGCTTTCAGCAGCCTCGTACAGGCTCAGATAATTTGCTTATTGCCACGTTACACGACTTGGTAGAGTTATGTGACACGCGGGAACTGGTGACGATGCCGGGCGCCGTGTCGCGTAGCGTCGACGAACATCCCTGAAATGGCCGGTTTTATCGGTCCGATACTACCCGTTACGACACAGCGTGGGAGGACACGTATCGGACGACAGTTTCCTATAACGACGTGTTAATTTCTGAACGACTACCGTTCGATTAATGGCCGACCGGGGACATTCGGTAGATAAAAGATAGACTTGCTTTTTATCTTGATTTTTAAAGCTAGCGTGCATCCTCGAACGATGTCGCACGATGATGGGAGAGAATTTTAAGCGATCAGGACGTTGATAACGCATGGATTAATTAGCGTTCTCTTTCGAGAAAGATATTTCGAGTTTGATAGTCATCGATATCGAGTTCGACGAGCAAATAGTAGGACGGAAGTTTAATTAAAAATAAGTGACAGTGACTTTGACGGAGGTAAAAGTGTTTGAATTTCCAATTTGCGGCATAGTTTCGACGCGCGTATCGACAAACGCGTCATCCTGGCAAAAAGTCTTTTCGTAAAATTTCGTGTTTTCGTAGCTTCGAACGTTGATTCTTCGATGCGAGTTAGCTGTCGGTATCGCAGAATCCTCCCGCGGGATATTTTGGCTCGCATCGCAGGATAATCCGGCTTAAGTATCCTTTAACGTGCTCGACGTGAATGAGGATCGATTTTCCCTTCGTCACGAAATTCAGGACAGTAGACAGATGCTACCAGAAATCCCCGGGCAACCTTTAAAATCGACCAATATTTTCATCCGCCGAATTAGGGATTCGAAGGAGACATCCTGGATTTTCCTTGGAAATCGAGATACGTATAATGACTTCGATTCGAGCGCGTTGTTAGCAAGGAAATTGTTGCGAAAGGTAGTTGAGCGAAAATTTGTCTGCTGTCAAAGGACGGAAAGTCTCGATTTGTTCCCACGGTAGAACCTCCGGTTAGATACTCTAATTGATTATCGGGTTAGGTTCGAAACAATGGATCGCACGGTAGATATCCGCGACCCGTGCTTCTTGATGTCCGCGAGAAGACATCCACGAGGAGACTTCTATTTATCGGTAAACTCGATTCCGCCAGCACACACGGCGTATTGTTCGTTCTTTAGGGGGCAACCTCCAAAGGTGCTTTCTCAGACACTACTCGTTTATGGCGGCTAATTACGGTA